GTCTGCAGTCTGTGACTGCAGTTCCATGGTGAGAGGGCTTGCTTCACATGTGTGAGGCCTTGAGCTTGATTCTTGGTCCCCACCCAAAACAAAACAGGACAAAATGAAGCCTCCCCACCCCACCCCAACATTGACATACCTAAGAATGACCAAGCACTTTGTTCATGTAAACAACTGCATTTTTGGCTATCTATGGAAAATCTTGGTGACTTGTAAAGGTCATGAAAACATCACCCAAGGAACATGCCCAGAGAAAGGCTGACTAAAGGAAATGGAAGTAACACATTTATGCTACTGTGATGTGGGGTGCCCCTCTGTATGCTGTGAATATGTTTTTATTACCCTTGGTTAATAAAGAAGCTGATTCGGCATATGACAGGGCAGAATATAGCCAGGATGGAAGAATAGAGAGAGAGTCAAGGAGATGCCATACTGCTGCCGACAGAGTCAGATGCCCGAACCTTACCTGGTAAGCCACAGCCTCGTGGCGATACACAGAATAATAAAATGGGTTAATTTAAGATATAAGAGTTAGTTAGTAGGAAGCCTGAGCTAATAGACCAAGCAGTGTTGTAATTAATATAGTTTCTGTGTCTGAGCAGTCAGGGAACAAACGAGCAGCCTCCGTCTACACTACTGCAATGGTTTCATTCAAGGTCTCGTGAGGACGGTCGCGACGGTCGCGCCACGTTCTTCCCATAAGACATCAGGAGAGAGACTGAGAGAAAGCAGGTGACAGGGCATGCTGAAAATCAAAACACAGAACACTTGCTGAGGCTTCAGAAAACATCACAGGTATGTTTGCTTTTGGGTGGCAGTTCACATGAGCTCTTGAATCTTTGCTTCCAGTTTTTGTTCATCAGCTCCATGAAATTCATAAATCTGTTTCAAATACACAAAGGCACAGAAGAGTTTATTGGCACAAGCGCTGCAAAGACATCGAAGTGTCGAGGAGTTCTGTGTCTGATTGGAGAGTTGTTTCTCATTTCCATAATTTCAGAAGCTGTTCAAGTATTAATACACATTAAATAGATTAAATTCCTGACCTTTTATTTGTCGCAAGACTAGGTACACTCAGGTGGTCACTCTTTCAAAATGAGTGATATGAATATTTCTCCAGGTCTCTGTAATTCTTCTTAACACATGACCTAAAGTGTATGACACTACTGGAGATGAAGAAGCCCAATCCTTGAAATTAGAGTTGTTGATATATTGGCATTGAGGGCTTCTTCAGTTATATACACAATTTTCCAAAACTAAAAGTCTCTTTGTGACTTCTGCCCAGATCATGGTGGTATAATTGATTCTAAGAAGTGTGTGTTTTACACATTTCCGCCAACCCCAACTCAACTTTATAGTGGATGGCATATTTTAATTGGAACTTTTTTTAGTAGTATAGAAAATAATGTCTCTCTCTTTCTCTTTTCGACACAGGTCTGAGGTAGCCAACACTGGCCATAAAGTCCAGTCCTGATCCTCCTGCTTCCACCCACAAAGTGCTAGGATTACAGGCATACAGTGAACCCTACCTGCTGTAACACCTTTCAAATAGCTCTCTCATGTTTGGGTTGGGGAGACAGCTCAGCTGGTGAGGTGTTTGATACACATGCATGAGGTATTGCGTTTGAGTTCCTAGAACCCAACTAAAGAGTGTGGTGTGGTGGACTGTGTGTTGTGATAATCCCAGAGCTGCGGAGGTGGAGGCAGGTGGATCCCCTGGTTTTGATGTCCAGATAATTGGTGATCTCCAATGAGAGACCCAAAATCACCAAGACGGACGGCTCCTGAGGAGCCGTGCTGAGGTTGTCCTCCGGCTTCCAGAGGCACTTACATACACTCATATGAACACACGAAATAAGCACGTAACAGTTATCGAAATAAGGACGTCAACCTGTCCTTTAAACCCACCACCACGTCAACACTAGGTGTATTAGTTATTGGGATCCAGGGAAGAATGTAAGTAAACTGAGGTGAGGAGCAGGTGAAGACTTGAGCTTCTGGGAAGGTTGGAGTAGGGACTGGAACATTCTAGAACAAGCCTCTGGGCTCGGTGTGCTGCAGAGAAGTAACCGTCCCCACACCTCTTGTTCTTGCTTCCCCCACTCAGCAGCCTCCCCTCCGGGTCTGCTGTTTTGTTGACTCCTTGAATGCCAGCCCCAGGTGTGGGATATGTCCATCTCCGTCTCATTTCACTTACCTTCCTAGTCTCCGCTCCACGTCTGAGACAGCACAGTGTTCTTTTGAGTCTCGAGAATAGAGGGACCTATGTGTGGGTGCAGAATTTCACGGTTTATCTGAGTTGCCGGTCTGTAGCCATCTCCTCATAAACAGTTCCCCTGGTGTTTGGCCAGGGGAGGAAGGTATCAGAAGGGATCTGCCGACCGGTCTCCCCTTCAGGGCTGGGGAAAGCTCAGTCGGCGAAATGTTTGCCTAACACGCACAGAGTCCTGGCTTTGAACCCGGGCACCTCATCAGCCAACTGTGGTGGTTACACTTGTAACCCCAGCATCCAGGAGGCGCAAAAGTTCAAAGTCATCCTGAGCTTCTTAGTGAGACTGGAGTCAGCCGAGGCTACATTAGACATTATTTGGGGGCAGGGAGTTCTTCCTATTATTAGGATGGCAACCAGAGAGGGTGCCTCTGGGGCCTGAAGGGAGATTCACTATGGGGTCTTAAAGGGACTTTATCCCTTGTCTCAAATCAGAGCTGGAGTGGAAAGCAGGCTGTGAGAGGTTTTGGATTCCACTTTACTCTGTTTATCCAGTGGGAGCTCAAGGGCGGGAATCATTATGCAAGAGCAGTGACTTCCTCCTAAACCTCTTTTGGATTTTATGTCCAAGGATCCTCCTAAATCTTTATCTTTTCTTCTTCTATAGGGGAGTCAGATGCAATTGGAGGTAGAAGTGAGACCATGGGAGGCAAACAGAGCATCCACAGGGAAAAGATGGCGTGTCTGTTCCCATGACCACCACCTAATTCCAGATTGGCTTTCTGGACTCCCTTGGCAACCTTAGAAGATATTTCTCTCATCTCTTTAGAGATATACTCAGTGGATCATGTTTTATCTGATTTATTTTAGCCTACTTCTTACTTCAAAGGACAGTGAGAACTCGGAAAAAAAAAAGAGGTTGGGGCAGAGAGGATTCGCTAACTGGAAAAAGCTGTGTCTCGTAGTGGAATGGTATAAGCTATGGATTACAAAAAAATGGCACACAGATCTAGAGGGGGTGATTTCTGTGATTATGGGGTTGTGAGATTCCTTCTATAGCCGCCAAGAGCAGCCGGGAGCAGTAAGTGTCACGGCTACTGTCGAATCTGACGTCTTTCTAGAGATACATTCACTCCTCCACAGGGGACTGTCACCCACCCTATTACGTGAGCCAGAGCTGCACAAAATTCCGTATTGTGTAACCATTCCCAGGCACCACGCCTGCCTCTTACATTATGATATGCTCAAAAGCAACCTTAATTCTGAATCCTTTCACAATGAGTTGCTTTTGCATATTTTTTGAACTTTACAAGTAGAATTCTACAGACTGTATTCTTTCTTAAAAGAAAAAATTATTAATTTTTGTATTTTATGTACCTTGGTATTTTGCCTGTATGTATGCCTGTGTGAGGGTGTTGGATATCCTGGAACAGGAGTTTCAGACAGTTGTGAGCTGCCGTGTGAGTGTTGGGAATTGTACCCGGGTCCCCTGGAAGAGCAGCCACTGAGCCATCTCTCCAGCCCTACAGATTGTATACTATGTCTGACTGTTTTTACTCAGTTTCATGCTCACGGTGTTTCTCTGTTCGGCAGTGGTCTGGATGTGGTTCAGTATTCCTTTGCGTGAGTCTAACATAATTTATCCACGTGCACTCTGGGGAATGATGCTGCTGGGGACATTCTTGTCGGTGTATTTGTGGGTGACATGGAAGAGATCCTTCCTGCTTTATACATAAAGAATGGAATTACAGGGCTAAACTTTAATAGGAGTCCTCTTTCTCTGTTTTTTTCTCTCTTTTCTTCCCCTCCTTTCTCAGAAAGGATCTTATGTAATGCAGGCTGGACTTCACTATACAGAATTGCCAAGGACAACCACAAATTGCTGTATGTACAACCACACTCAATTTATACCATTCTGGAAACTAACCGAAGGCTGGCTAGGCCAGCATTCTGCCAACTGAAGGACAACAACAGTCCCGAAACTGACTGTCCCAGCAAAGGATGGGTGTTCTGGTTGCTCCACATCCTTGATGTTTGGTATCACCAGTTTTTGTCATGTCAGCCATTCTGGTGGCTTTAAGGGACATTACCTTTGTTTCCTAACTGACCACCTTTAAAATGGACTATAGCAATAACCACAAAGCTTTCTCTGTGCTCAGTTTTGTGCCTTTTCTGTCTACCTCCTCTCATGAATCTCAAAGCTACAAATGTGCTTGTGAGATCCTTTCCAAGCTCTTCAGAGTTCTCTTCCTCGCCGTAAAAATCCAGCCTTCTAATGATGTCTTAATTTTGTCTCCTCCACCTCAATACCATGAACTCTGAACTGTGGGAACACTTCACAGGGGACTCACTGTTTACTTCAAAACCACTTTGTCTGAAGTGCTTGGATGCAAGCATTTTAGAGCTTGGAATATTGGAAACTAAACACTGAGATATCTTGGGGGTGAGACTCAAATCTAACTGGAAATTTGCATCTATTTCACGTGTCTCACAGCCTGAAGTCTGCTCTAGCTTCTTTCATGTTGCTCTGATAAAACACTCTTACTAAAACGAGCTTAGGGAGGGTAGGGTTTGTTTCATCTCACAACTCCTAGGTCACAATCTGTCATGGAGGAGTGAGGCAGGAACCTGGAGTCAGGAACCATGGAGGAATGATGCTCGTTGGCTCAATCTCTGGACCACTTCCTGGCTCATGCTTAGCTAGCTGTAAACTGCCTAGGGCCACTTGTAGACAGAGCAGCGGGCTGCATTCCCGCTCAGCTCCTGCACGGCTAGCTTTATACCCGAAACAACAACACACAAATTGTATTCTTTTAAACACTGCTTGGCCCATTAGCTCTAGCCTCTTACGGGCTAACTCTCACATCTTGATTAACCCATTTCTATTAATGAGTGTAGCACCACTGGTGGTGTCTTACCGGGAAGGATCTTAACCCGTGTCCATGTTGGAGAGGAGAGCTATAGCGTCTGCCCACTGCCTTCTTCCTCCCAGCATTCTGCTCTGTTTACTCCGCCTACCTAATTTTCTGTCCTATCAAAGGGCCAAGCAGTTTATTAATTAACCAATGAAAGCAACAGATAGACAGATGACCCACCTACATCAGCCACTGACTGGGGAATGGTACCACCAATGGTGGGCTAGGTCCTCCTACATCAACCACTTATCAAGACAGTCCCTCATGCTCACAGACCAACCTGACTTACATAGTTCCTCCATTGCTGCTTCTTTTCTAAGATGACCCTAGCCTGTGTCAAGCTGACAATGAAGGTTTACCCAGGCAGTAATCTCGTAGAAGGCTTTTTCTAGTCTTTATTCACAAAACTAAGTCTCTGAACATTGACACATCGGTCTTACAGCATCAGGTCCCTATGAAGTATCAGATTTTGGAACGTTGTGACTTTGGATGTTTGGGTTATGGACACTCACACAGTTTTCTTTTAGAACATGCACTTAATGAGTACCTGTGCTAAGTACCTTGTGAACGAGACAGATAATATCTCTTAGGCGTTCAGATGCTCATAATAGTTTTATGCTATTGTTATGTAAGCATGTAAATTATCTCAGATACACACACGTGCTACTCTATCCATCTCTGCTTCTCCTTATCCAGTCCTATCCCGCCCTGATGGCGGTCACCTCATGAAGCCTTCTGAAACATTTTCTTCGCCATCCTAGAGTACTCTGGACTTTCCATTACGATATGACATAGTTGATTTTATCCTCATTCTGCCCATTAGCTCAAGGATGCAGACTGCAATTTTTTTTCCAGCATAATTGTGGGGTCCAGTTTGGAACTCTCACATAAACTAGCTTTCATTAGAATTGAGTTCTGTTATACTCAGTTTTGGCCACTGAAGTGTGAGTTTAAGACTCTGGATTGTATTAAATTTCAGAATAAAGTGTCCCCTTCCTTCCCCGGGTTAGTGGTAACTGTCACTTGACAGAATGGAGAAGCACTGGAGATGGCTTGGGGCACGCCTGTGAGGGTTCCTCTGATTAGGAAGCCCACTCTCTGTAGATGGCTTCGTTTGCTGCCATCCTGGGCGGTGTAAGTGAGGAGAGAGAATTAGCTGTTTGCATCCACCCCCTGGCCTCTTCTTCTGACTGCAGATGTGAGCGAGCCGCTGTGAGCTCTTAGTGCCTTGCCTTCCCTGCCACGAGGGGTTGTGCCTGGAATTGTAAGTGAACCCGAGTCCTTTTTCTCTTGGTTGACCTTCTCAGGGCATTCTGTCGCAGTGCCACAACAGGGACTAAGACACCTTCTTTCCTGCTTTCTTGTCAGCCTTTCCTCTGCTCCCTTCCTTCTACTTTCCTTTGTTATCCTAGAGAACTGAACCCAAAGCCTTCCCACATGGCAGGCATGAGCTCCATCACCACACTGCATCCTCAGCACGGCCTCCTTTGTCTAGTTGACCAAAGACAGAAATTACATGCGTCTCCCTGTCTAGTGCTGGGCTTTGTGTCTGGGAACGTAGTAAGAAGACTGAGTAAAGAAGGAAACACTTGGGCTGGAGAGATGGCTCAGAGGTTAAGAGAACTGACTGTTGTTCCAGAGGTCCTGAGTTCAATTCCCAGCAACCACATGATGGCTCACACCCATCTATAATGAGATCTGGTGCCCAGAACACTATATATGTAAAATAAATAAATTTAAAAAAAAAAGAAGGAAACACTTATTCCACAAGTGGCCTTGCTCATGGGAGCTCTGCAACTGTCCCTGATATCACTGGAGATTCGAGGAACGCCAGAGTGCAGAGATGCGCCAGAGTGCATGCCCAGAATCCAGGCCTGAGTTCTCATAATTTTCACATCCTTTCGAGATTATTTATAACAGCCTGTACAATATAAATGCTGCACAGGCAGCTGTTACCCTCTGTTGTTTTAGGGATAATGACAAGAATGAGAAGTTTGTACATTTTCAGTATAAATATTTTTTCAGGTATTTTTGATCTATTGTTCATTGAATGTAAGAACATGGAATCCGAAGATGCACAGAGTCAACTATAAATGGCTTGTGAGTTCTGATCCAAGTGTTTCTCTCTTTTAGTCTGGTGCTGTGCTGTGTCTCTCAAAAGCTTAGACCAGAAGCTTCAGGATGTGAGTTTACAGCTCTCTTAACATCTCCTTGATTTCAAAATAATCTCCCCCACCCCCACTTTGAGACAGGCTCTTACTGTGCACCCCTGGCTAGCCTTGACCTTGAAATTCTTCTGCCCCAATCAACCAAGAGATAAAATTGCAGGTGTCCTTGCACCTAGCTGGGTCCTTCTTCATTAGCTGCTGCTGCTGCATGCTGGAAATAGTTGTAACAAAAATGCTAAGCTCCTGGCTTTTTAGGCCAATGAGAAGAGGGAGGCTATTCAGTCCTTAAAAAATACCCAAACCCAATATGTTTTAAAAAATAGCTTTCCTTACAGACATTTTCAAACACACACACATAGAGTAATGCTTATGTTGTGGTGATGCTGCACACCTTTAATCCCAGCACTCAGGAGGCAGAGGCCAGAGGATCTCTGAGTTCAAGGCCAGCCTGGTCTACACAGAGTTCTAGGACAGCCAGGGCCACACAGAGAAACCTTGTCTTGAAAAGCAAAAGCAAAACCAAACAAACACATGAACCAAAGAGAGTAATGAAGTGACTTCTGATTTACCCGTCACCTAGGTCTAGCCAGAGGCAATAGTTCTCCTATGCCGAAGATGTCCTAACATTTACATGCAGTCTATTGCAGAGCACTCAGAGACAGTGGTCCCTTCCGAACAAATAGATGTCTGACAGGCAAAATTACACTAATGATGCATGCGTAGGCTAATTATAATAAATGCCCTGGCCGGTTGTTGTGCAATTTTGGTTGAGTGGATATTGAAGTTACATTAGACCAGCTGCATGGTCCAGACTGAGCTCATCAATCTCCCAGACATCTGTACTTAGTTGATAACAGCAAGAGGAGCAACCCGCGGTGCACCAGCTACGAGAGACAAACAATAGCACAATCCCACCAAACAATACAAGATCGCCTTGGGGAATGACTGTGGAGATGTTTGTAGTACAGTGTATAATTTACAATAACACGAATAAAAAGAGAACACATTCTGCTAAGATAGATGGATTTTTCTGAGGGATTAGATGGTATGACTAAGACAGAAAGGGTACTTTTAATGCTACAAGCTTTTAAAGCTGCCTCACCTAAGAGGAGGGGACAGCAGTAAGCGTCAGTTCTATCCTGATTCTTCTTCTGACCCTACTCAGAACCGCTGACTTCTCAGCCGGTATTTGAATCTCATTGGCTTTCCTATGCCTCAGGTGGACCTTGATAATGTAAAGTAATTCAATGAGAGTTTTTGGAGTTGAGCTAAAATATATCCAGGAGGCACCGGAAGAGGGGCACTCATACAAGATGAGGGCAAATAGCCAGGCTCCTGTTTCCACCACTCAGGCCTCCTGGATGACATCTTTTGAACTTGTTCTGACGGTAGGATGACAGTAGAACACTCATTGATGTTATTTTCTGGAAGCTGCTTCCACGTCTTACTCTTTGGGTATCAGTGACCCAAATGACAACAAAAGTACATTGTTTTTTCTGTGGCAACAGCTAACTTTTTGGTTCCGATCATACTCACTTGGGGTCTGATGTTTAGATTTGCCGTGGAAGTGCAAAGGCAGACATATTGTTATGTAACCAAACTGGCGTGGCTGTGCTCCTGTGCGATTGATCTGTGAACAGGTGGAGGGTCAGCTTGGACTGGAGCGTGTGGATTCTTTTTCTGGGCCACCAGCCGATTCTGCTGAGCAGACACAAGAAGCTGCTGCAGGGCCAGATCCTCAATACAGTGGGACTTACCACTGAAGGGGATGTGGTATGATGTTGGAGTTCATCTCCAGCCACGTTAGAATAGGAAAGGCCATTTTGGACCGTGGCTACCAGAGATGATGATCTGCCTGTCCCTGGAATGGGACTTTGTTCTTTGCGGTAAACACAGCTTCCAGGGTCATTTTCTTCAATGGCATATGCTTGTCCTCATGTTCCCACTGGGAAAATCTGCTCAGATTTTCAGTGTTGGGTTTCTGTAACCCTTGTCTTACCTCCATTCCCACTCCGGCTCACCAAGCTCAGAGTGAGTGTCTCTTAATCCTAGATGAAGGAAAAGCTCAAGTCTATTTTCTCTCGTTTTGGGACACCTTGATAGAGGGCACAGCCAAACTTTCCCCCAGTCCTTTCCAGATATCCTGGGGAAAAGGGGCCCAGATTTGCCTTCTTCAGATGGGTGGTCTTTTAGATCTTGAGAGTCATGCAAGGCAGCAGCGCCTTCTTCATCTGGGCAGGTAGGTGGCAGCTATGCAGCCCTAGGTCCTTTCTCAGGCAGGAGTACTCAAGGTCTAGACTTTAAGAGAACCATTGTTCACACGGATCTCAGTCGTGAACTTTTATGAGCGCCGTCTATCACCAGAAGTACTTCCGATAAAGGTCATATTTTGGTTATCTGCATGACTCATTAAGAGAAAAGAGCTTATGTCTGCTTGCTTATGCCTTTCATGGCTGTGGGGCAATCTGTGTCCTTTGACAAGAGAGGGCATCAAAAGATCTTTCCGGATCCCACTAATGAGGACTTCTCCTGTTCTTTTACTCTGTATTCTCTGATGCAATAAATCTTAACTCTGAGTACAACTTGCTCCTGAGTCTTCTCATGTCTCACAAATCACCGGACGAAACACTGCTATGTCTCAACAATTGAAAAATCAGAGGAGACGAACAGGGCTGAGTAAAAATTGTAGAGTGGGAAACCCTCAGGAATCAAAATAAAAGACATTTTGATAGAAATTTAACTATTAAAAATCAATACAAAACTCCCCAGAGAACAGAGTGTAGAACATTAAATAAAAACATGGTTTACAACACTGGAGGGTAATTTGCATTGTCTAATCCCGGAGGAGAGACAGGTAGGAACCTCTCAGTTGCTAAGGCAACAGCAGCATCCTTTGCAGTGATCCTAAGATGGCTAAACTGAGCTGAAAACAGCCTCAGTTCATTAGCGTCTCTTCCATCCTGCTTAGTTTTTCAACTCTATAATTCTCCGTCTCAAGCATCAGCCACTCTTGGGGCTGACCAGGTGGGATTTGTTTTTGGTCTCCCAGGCAGAACTCCTTTGTCTGCCGTTGCCTGTGCGGGACGGGTTTTACTGAGTAAGCAATGGTGATTCAGTGTAAGCAGAAGTCCCATGTGTTTGAAGAGTTTAAATGGTCCCTCAAACATTATTTCTATATTAGTTTATTTATGAATTTGAAGGGAGACGGACACAGCTGCATCCTGAGGTTCTGATACTACCCATACTGTTAAACAACAGGAAGCTGTAACCTTCAAATCAACTATACTAGTCCTATTTTAAGGTATGCATCAAGTCCAGGGCTTGGCACTTTCTGTATATATATTTTTTAAAACTTCAAGACAAAATTTCAAAGATGAGTGATGTAGTATTCATCTCACAAAGAAGGAAGATGAACGTTGGGATGGCTTATTACATTCCTAAGTCACTCAGTAATAGGAAGATGCAGGACCCAAACAACAGTTGTCCTGGGATAGTGAGACCCGGTTGCAAGTAATTTCTGGGAAGAAGGCCAAACATAATTTTTGAAGCAGTTGAATACAAGCGGTTGGAATGGAGTCTTCAGACACACCCCTTCCTCAATTCTTCTTTATCTATAGATCTCTTCTTGGCCTGTGTGTGAGCCCTGTTTCGGCCCCGTCCTCTTTCTAGCAAATGATGTAGGATAGTTTTCATCTCTATACTTGCTTTATTTGATGGCAGATACTTGTTGGCAATGACTTTTGTGTTGTCAGCAAGGAGCTCTGGAGTTTGTAGACATCTGGGTAAGAGCTTCCTCCTACTTAATGCAAGAGCCCAGCAAACTTGTGTTATGAATTATTCAGTTATGAATAATTTGCTTATTAGCATATATATGCCCATTTTCCATTGTTCTTAATAGTGGGCCTACCCAAGTGCTTTTGGAAACAATTTTGCATTAAGGCGAGAGATAAAAGTTGCAATTCAGCTGGGTGATGGAGGTGCCACTCCTCATACACTATCCACCTTGTTTTTTGAGAAAGCATCTCTCACATGGTATGGAACCCACCAGTTAGGCTGTCCAGACTGAAAGCAGTTCTCAGGCATCCTCCTGCCTCTGTCTCTCCAGCACTAGGATTTCAAACGCACACTATCATACCTGACTTTTCACATGTGAGTTTTGGGGTCCAAACTTTGGTCTATGTGCTTCTGGGGCAAGTTTACTGAAGGAGCCATCTCCCTGCCCACTACAGCCATTTTATTTTAATATTGCATCCCTGCCAAGCAACTTCATTCATGAAAACTTCTAGCAGCCAGGGAAGGATTATTAAGTACCTCAGGTCACTATATATGGCTTTATGCATTTTCATTTTTTTGTTTTGTTTTTGTTTTTCGAGACAGGGTTTCTCTGTAGCTTTGGTGCCTGCCTGGAACTAGCTCTTGTAGACCAGGCTGGCCTTGAACTCCCAGAGATCAGCCTGCCTCTGCCTCCCGAGTGCTGGGATTAAAGGCGTGCACCACCACCACCCGGCTGACATTTTTATTTTTAAAAAAATTCTACTTTACTTATGATGTATATACATTAGGAATGACATGGGCAAGAATGATGGCCAAAGAAAAGAGTAAAAGCCAAAGAAAAGGGTAAAAGCCTAAGGGTGGTGTAGTACAAGAAACATCTATGGGAAAGGTTGGAGACATAGGAGGTAAGGGGTCGTGGGACTGGAGCAGCAGAAGCAAGCCCGAGTTTCTTGACATCTTTAGAACAAAAGGGGAATGATGTGGGAGTCCCCTCTGTATGCTGTGATTACCATTAATGAATAAAGAAACTGCTTTGGACCTAGAGCAGGGCAGAGCTTAGGTAGGCAGGGAAGACAGAACTGAATGCTGGGAGGAAGAAGGGCGGAGTCGGGGAGAAGCCATGGAGCCGCTGCCAGAGTCAGACATGCCAAAATTTTGCTGGTAAGCTACTGCCACGTGGCCATACACAGATTAATAGAAATGGGTAAAATTAATATGTAAGAGTTATACAATAAGAATCTAGAGCTAATGGGCCAACCAATGATTTAATTAATACAGTTTCTGTGTGATTATTTGGGGTCTAAGATAGCCAGATGGCTGGGAACTAACAAGCAGCCTCCCACTCACTACAGGGGAACCTTAGCTCTTTCTATCGGAAACACATTGTGTTTCCAAAGGAGAAGATAGTCTCCTGTGTTCTATGTGATTTATGACTTTTTTTTTTATACTGTGAACCTTTAAGAGGCACAGTGCACAGTGGCTATTTGCCAGATGTCTTCCTGGAATCATAAAGACATTTCTTAAAACAATCCTCAATAGAAACTGAACTCTAGTTTTAAAAAATGGATACATGGTACTTAATTGCTTCAGTAAGTCAGTTTCCAGTTACATGTCCCAGATGAAGGCGTGGAACCCATTTCTGGAGGTGCTTTCAAAGACATGGATTCCATTTCTCTCTGTTTTCTAAAAGACATCTGACGCCAATGAAAGCTTCCTTGCTCTGTTCTCCTAACAGAAAGACGTTCAAATGATTGCATCTTTTCCTTGGCCACCCTAAGACCTGCTTTGCAATGGTTTCCCCTCTGCAGATCACTGTGAGACAGGAACTGGGGAGAAGGATCCAGACATGCCATGGCTTCACCCTAACTCTTGATGCATTGGGAAAAGTGGCGCCCCAAGGAGCACTAAAGACCTGCTCAGAGCCTATTTGACATCTGAGTCAAAAGAAGTAAAAGATTTAGAGTGTTAGATCCCTAAGAATCTTGTCATCTTTTTCTTGCCTCTTGCCTTTGGTGTAGAAAGTTGTTTTGTTTTGGTTTTATTGCTATTTTTTGAGCAGGTTTCATATGAGTAGAAATAGATGCATTTATACGTTGTGGTAGAAATCATTTCAAATTGTTTAGTTTTTAAAAAGAGACTATTTTTATTTTTTGTTTGTGTGTCTCTCTGTGTATATTTGCACATACATACTGGTGCCCACAGAGGCCAGAGCGGGCATTGGATTTCTTGGAGATGGAGTTGAGATGGTAGCAAAGATGACATACACAGGCGATTAAACATGTGGGGGGGGGCAAGTCAAGGAAACACATGCTAAATAGTTTTATTTTCAACCAAAAGCCATGTGAAGAAATATGTAGTGTTTGAAAAATATCTTAAATCTATTGCACCAGTTACACTACATCAAATACCAACAGACAGAAACAGAAACAAAAATTGTATAGCTGGTAGATCAAAGCAATGCTTTTGTTTCCCCCAATTTAGACATAATCTTTATAAACTCCAAGCATGTCTTTTAAACATCACAAAATTCTTCCTAACATCTTAGTTCCATACTGTCCCATGGAATAGAGGGCTCATAACTCAGACATTCTGCTGAAAAAGGCATCGTAATTGCTTCTATTGTCAATGTTAGCAATAATGTACCAATTATTACATATTCAGTTACTGTTTTTTTTTCTTGAGATGTTTTTTACAGCATATGTTCCCAAGGGCAAGATACTGTTGTGAAAGACAATGTATATTTTGTGTCTCCTAAGGTTGCTACAAAATGATAAGTTCATGAAGCATATGTGAGTAACCATCAATCCCCCCAGTCATATCTGAAAATACTAGCTTTATCCCACTAATACCTATAATACCTATTATATTATTAATATAATATAGAAGAGCTAATAGAACACATTAAACCACTCCCACCAGGGGGATCTTACACTTCAGCATGATGACATATTTCATGTTCACAATAAATGAGGGAATATTTATAATGCCCTCTGTTACAAATAGGGAAACAAAGACACAAAAAGATAAGTAAGCCACCGAGGGCCCCATAGCTAAGAATGGGAGACCTGGTTTTTGGACCATGGGGATTGAACCCAGGCAGTGCATACCCAGTCATGAGGCTGTGCTGCCTTGGGATGATTTTGGATGAGTGTTTCCACACATCCTGTTAATGGCTATCGACTCCAGTGGGAGGATTTCATCAAGCCCTTACCGGGTAGGTTCTTGATAATTCTGTCCCAGAGTAGAGGAAATAGTGGAGTTTTTATGATTCGAATGTCTCAGATAGGGAGCAATTTACTGTAAGTCATGTATTTTCTTTACTCTCATCATTCATTGGATGTGGTGTTTGAAATTTAAAAATTATATTTCAAAAAAAAAATCCAAGTATTTTTTATCTAACCGAGGAACACCAGACTTTTTAATTTTAGCTCTGATGATAGCTTCATCTAATTCATCCCTGCTGGTTTCCATGAAAACATACCTTTTTGGTGTGCTTGAACATCTGAAATGTGGGCACGGCTTTGATGTGACAAAGTTGAGCCAATTCCTGGGAAGAAAAAGGGGTGTCGTGAAGTCACAGTTTTGGTTCCCTTTCTCTGTTTCAAGTGACTTCTAAGAAACAGTGTCTTAAGGTCTAAGGGCACCTGACACTTTACAGGATTTCCCCAACATACCCTCCAGGCCTCCAGGATAACCCCTGTGGAAAGAAACTCTTGGGTTTCTCATTCCAGAGCTCTAGGTGAGGGATGAGACGAAGGGCAAATAGAATGGATGTGGAGTTCCTAACTGAACTGCATTTAACAATGCTGAGTGGGCGGAGAAGCCCCAGGAAGCCTCGTATGGAAATGCCGTATTGCCCAAAGAGGAAGGAAAAGGCATGTCTTCATCGGTCACACTGGAGACAGGCATGACACACTCAAGGTTAGCGCAGCCTGTTCTTTAAGTCTTGTTTGCCTTTCTCCCTCACTACTTATCTTTACTTCTGAAACATTTGGAGCCCAAGGATAAGAGAAATGGTTTGATTTGAGACCAAAGCAAGTGGTATTTCTTGTTTGTTTGTTTCTCTTATTTAGAAGTCGACTAAAATTAGCTATCCATGAACAAAAAACCTGAACTCTCTCACTGATATGCTATTTGATCGACTTTAATTCTTCCACCCACAATACACACAAAGAAGCATTGCACACACACTAAGTTGTATGTTTAGTTATAATTGCCATGACAACTGTTAATCTATGTTATTAATAGAAAAGTGTGTATTTTGCTTCACCTTAAAAGGCAAAAAGCCAGCTGGGCGGTGGTGGCGCACGCCTTTAATCCCAGCACTCGGGAGGCAGAGGCAGGCGGAGCTCTGTGAGTTCGAGACCAGCCTGGTCTACAAGAGCTAGTTCCAGGACAGCCGGGGCTGTTGCAGAGAAACCCTGTCTCGAAAAACATAACAAAATAAACCAAAAAAGAAGACAAAAAACTATAATTGAAAAACTGAGAGCAACTCAGCTTTTGGCAAGATTTTGGGAAATCAGGACTGTCTACTGGAGCAGAGAGAATGGAAAATGATGTAGTTTCTTTACAAGATGGTTTTCCAGCGCCTCCATATACCATCAGAGTGTCGTGGCAAGAACTATGCATGTAGATACAGCTTCAAAAGAAATCAAAACTTGTACTCACATAGAAATTTATGCAGTCAAATTTATACAAAAATTATCACAATTGCCCAAAGCTTCTCAGGGTGCCAAGTTAGTGTCAGGTTGACATATTATGACAGACTATGGCACAGAAGGTAATTAGTGTTTGGTTTTCTGATCATTTTAAAGCTCAGCTTCCATCCAATGCTTGGGTAGGTCGCTTGTTACCTTTTCTGCTATAGTGTGAATGCTGAGTGGCTCTTCTGGATCAGCAGCCTGGTCTCCAGCATGGAGCTATTGGAGGTGGTGGAACCTTTAAGAGGTGGGGCCTTCAGTCCTTTCAGGCTGTGCCTAAAGAGGACTGTGGGATGCTGACCCCTTCTCTTTTTCTTCCTGCTGCTGAAGGGATCACTTTGCTCTGCCATGCACTCCTGTTCAAATGTGCTGCCTTCTACAGGTCCAAAAGCAACTAGGCTTTGATCAGGGACTTGAATTTCCAAGATGGTGAGACAAAATAAACCTTTCTCTTTCTCTTAGGCACTTTTCTATAGTGACAGAAAGCTAATTAATATGGTTACATTTCCTTATTGTAAATTAACAACTCCCAGGAAGAATAAATCCCAGCAGATTTTATATTGTAATAAGATGTATTTGGCTTAAAACTAGGAGGCTGATTATTTTGTGGGGAGGCATAGGAGAAGAGGAAGGCTGGATCTAGGGACAAGAGGGAAAGATTATGTGGAATTTTTATGCTATATAAGCAACCCCCCCAAGAAAAACAAATACAGGATACAAAAATGAGATATATCAAAATGTCTATAGTTATTGAGCTAAGTTTTAAAAAATTATTAATAATTTACCACAACCTGAAAATATTTTTTTTTTTACCATGGCTTCATTGTAATGTCTGCCTAGATTCATTGTAATGTCTCAGGCTTCTTAATGCTGTGACCTTTTAATACAGTTCCTCATCTAGTGGTGACCCCATCCATAAAATTATTTAGTTGCTACTTCATAAGTAAAATTTTTCAATTGTTATGATCATAATGTAAATAACTGGTACATAGCCCCAAAGGGGGCATGACCCACAGGTTGAGAACACAGGCCTTGAGCATCAGGCTGAGGAGCGGGTGGTGAAGACTCTTGGGAGTGACTCGTGCTGTCTGCCACAGCAGCAGGGAGCACCATAGATTTGCTAACATTTAAAGAAGATTGTGCAAAACAGTTTGCTATATTTACCACAAAAGCAAAGACGTGGAATTCCACTTGTGTTTAGCCAGGTGATGTCATGGCTTTCGTAGAGTGACTCAGTGTAGTGACATTGCATTCGGGTTTTGACGCTCCGCACAGAGGGTTTAAGAGGCTTACCTTCGATGAGTCCACATCTACATTAGCAAACGTGACGTTTTGGTATTTTAAAGACATTGCCTTCAAGACAAAAGAATACAATAATGTGAATATCAGCATTCGTACTCAAAATGTCATTTTTGAAAAGAGGACACGTGTGACTGGGTTGTTAAAGAGACCCAGGCATTATTCCGAAAGGTCGTTACAGTCGAGGACCTGAAACTCCTCAAGGTCAATCAAGGACGCATTGCAGAGTCTACGAACAAAACTGAAGATTGGCGGTTCAAGGTTTGAGGACCAAACCCAGAGCAACTGAATGGAGTGCAGGGGGCCAGGCCAACCCTGCTGGGGGGGGGGGGGGAGGACCAGTGGGGCCAGGCCAACTCTGTCGGGGGTGGGGAGGCCAGACAGTGTTTCCCTGAAGGTGTTGAGATTACCTGTAACGGCTTTCAGATTTTGTCTGGGGTGTTGGGAGTGGGCTTAGAGCAGTGTTAGAAGCCCTGCTATGGTTCTAGCATCCCAACAAAGGATGCAGTTCTCTGACCCAGACATGTGCTTGGTGCTTTGACCTTCTTGTCTTGACATGGCTTGGGAGGTGTGATGCTGGTGGCCTAGAAGGTTTCCCTGATGACCATCATCAACCTGGTTTTCTCCCACCCACCCAAACTCTCTGCAATCTATCATATATCGAAACGAGATTTTCCAGACTCCCTTGCCGGCTAGCCAATGGGAAGCCATGAAAGGTGGTAGGAGGAAGGGGCTATCTCCTGCTTCTATTTTGTTCAGGAAATGTCTTTAACAGAAGTGGTGACAGCAAATCAGGGGGTGCAGATGAAGGATGTTTGTGACTTACGTCAGCACAGATTTGTGTTCAGACAGCTGTGTGCACACTTTGTGGGCACCTGATCATGTCCTGGTTTGTTTAAAAATCATGTCACAAGCAGTTCTGGTCACCTCTGTCAAATGAGACTACTCCTGGAAGATGGCACACAAGGGGTTCAAAGCTTGGCCAGACGGAGTCAATACTAGATGGAGCCATCTGCCAGAGGGAGAAGCCATAAGCTGCAAGGTGTTGAAGGGCTTAGGTGGACGTGTGAGAAGCCTGCTGCCGGCAGCTCGCCCTCTGATTCTGTGCGTGGATTGTGATTTACGTGGGGGTCCTGTCTCCTGTGGCCCCTTAAAATGGTGATACGGGAGACAATTCTTGTATAGTGAACACAAACACCTGTGGGGTTTGAGAATATTTTTCGGACTAAAATGATGGTTCTGAACTGGGTTTGGCAGCACAGCTCTGATCGCAGCAGGAGAACCAGAAGCCTGAGGTCAGCAGGGAATAGAGGGAATTCTAGGCCAGATCAGCCTGTGCCAGAATCTGGTCCCATCTCCAGCCTTCTCACCTGCTCTCCAGTGGCGTAAAAGCATTTACTTCCTGGTATGAAAGTCCTTGTTTATTTCTGTTTCCTGATTTGATCTCTGACAGATACCATGATTCTAGCGCCTTCCTCTCAATCCCTCATGGACAAGAAGTTTAACAAACTCACACAAAATACACGAATGTGCTCCCTTATGATAGGCTGAGAGTTACCGTACAGCAAATACAAAGTTCTTCCATTCCTATTTCCCTACAGCTGCCACTTATTCACACACAAAAATCCCCCTTTTTTGACAGGCATCCTTCTGCTCTGTTTTATATGCATATATAGTGAATGAAGTTTGCATAATTTTTTTCAATTCTTGTATAATTGCTGTTTATCGAAAGATATGAGCTTTTCTTTTAGCTTTTAACTATGTACTATGTACATAGTATGTACTATGAATTTTTATGAGTGGGTTCATTTTATTTGATCAAGTGTGCAACTGTTAGGACATAGATTAATTCATTGTTAATTGTTAGGTCATGGGTTGTTTAATGACTTAACATGCTATACTAAGTTATTTAGGGACCTTTATTTTTCTTCTAACATTCTGATATATATAGTTTATACGCCTTCTAAGTAATTATTACATTATTTTCAGAGTAACTATATCGTTTTACCTTTCTACCAACAAAAATATAACTGTACAGCTTCTCCAGTTAAAAAAAAAAAGACCAGGGTTTTAGGGCTAGAGATATCTGTGAGTAAAGTGTTTGATGTTCAGTCCTGAAGACCGGAGCCTGAGCCACAGAGCCCACATGACAAATATTTAGGTGTGGTGGCATGCACTTGTGATCCCATCTCTGGGGAGGTAGAAACAGATGGATCTCTGGGTCTCATTAACCATAAGCCAGGTTAGCCTTTTAGTGGGTTCCAGCTCGGTTAGAGACGTTGCCTCAAAAAACCAAACCAAACCAAATCAGCAACAGCAAACAAGAGGGTAGATGGTGTTTGAGGAATGGCAGCTGCTGAGGTTGTCTTTAGGCCTCTATCTGTTCTCTCTCTCTCTCTCTCTCTCTCTCTCTCTCTCTCTCTCTCTCGGCATGTTCTGTGCCCTTGATTGGCTACTGGCATCAGCTTTAAACTGTGTCTTTTGAGTGGATTCACACTTTTGTATCCGAGCCCTGACTATTTCTGTGGCATAGTTAGGGAGCCTTCTTTCTTAGTTTTGAGTGACAGAGTGGTCTGTCAAACACTAAAATGTTCCTTCCTTCCGGATAGTCCAAGAATTTTAGGCATAGTAGGGATGTGAAGAGTCATGTAGAAGATGGGGGGGGGGATGGCCCAGTGGGCAAAGCCCTTGGCATGAAAGTATAAAGGCTGTGAGATACCTAGAACCCATGTAAATGCATTTGGGTACGGTGACCTACCTATATATCATCAGCACGCAGGAGCCAGAGACAGTGGGTCCCTAGAGCAACCTGGCTAGCCAGATTAGCTTGAACCATGAGCTCTGAGCTCTGCAAGAGACTTTGCTTCGATATGTGAGACGGAGAGCAACTGAGGAAAACATATCAACCTTGGACCTGCACATGTGAACACGCATACATACATGTACACTATGCATATATGCAAATGACAAAAAAGAAATGTCATGTAGCTCATTTCTTTATCTGCTACAAGTGCATTTACAATGAAATATTGTTGGTTGTGACTATTGCTAAAATTAGTTTTGCCAGATTTAAGAGGCCAAGTGAGAAAATCCAAGATGTTTAAAAACCACACTGAAGCCGGGCGGTGGTGGCGCACGCCTTTAATCCCAGCACTCGGGAGGCAGAGGCAGGCGGATCTCTGTGAGTTCGAGGCCAGCCTGGTCTACAAGAGCTAGTTCCAGGGGGAACCAAAAGCTACGGAGAAACCCTGTCTCGAAAAATCAAAAAAAAAAAAAAAAAAAAAAAACCACACTGAACACAGACGAGAAGGTTTTTAGTTGTATCATTGTGCAATTGGCCCCCATAATCTCATAGGGAGTGGCACTTTCTGGGAGGAGGTATGGCCTTGTTGGAGGAAGTGTGTCACCATAGGGCTGGGTTTTGAGAGTTCCTATGCTCAGAATACCCCTGAGTGTTTCAGTCCACCTCCTGCTGTCTTCTGGTCAAGGCGTAACCAGCACCATGTCTGCCTGCATGCCGCCATGCTTCCTGTCATGATATAATGGACCGAAGCCCTGGAACTGTAAGTGAGCCACCCCAGGTAAATGTTTTCTTTATAAGAGTGACCATGATCATGGTGTCTCTTCATAGCAATGGAAACCCTAACTGAGACAGTCTTCATGGGATTAAAACGTCTTTATATTTGGAGGAAGGAATACAGGTCACAAAGGTGACCACAAACAACCAGGAGAAAGAAGACTAAAATTCCCTAATATGGGGGCTGGAGAGACTTCTCAGTAGCTAAGAGCACTGATGCTCTTCCAGAGGCCCTGGGTTCAGTTCTTGGCACACACGTGACAACTCACAACTGTCTGTGACTCTAGTTCCAGGGGATCTGACGCCCTCTCGTGGCCTTCACAGACACCAGGTACACAAGGGCTGCACAGACATACACTAGAGCTAAACACAAACATTGTGTCTCTCTGCGGTCTCTTTCAGTATTTGTAAGTTCTGAGTCCCGATTTAAGATGTGATGATATGAATTCCCGTTCATTTGTACACTCTAATTCTTCAGCGCATCTCGGTGTTCCTTGTGGAATTGCCCACAGACAAATAATCCCAGTCTTTGGGTATTGCCTAATGAGATTTCAGGATATTAGCTTCAGGTTCACTGGGACGCTTAAAAACAAACAAACCACAAACAAAACAGCAACAGAGCTTCAACCTATGGATAGTTTAGAAGCAGAAAAACTTCAGAGTGGCTGGGAAAACTTTTGCGGGCCTAGATTCCATTGGCAACCCTGAGACAGATGCTAGAAATCCTTACCTGGAAAATGGGACCAACCCTTTTGCAGGGGCCACACCACCTTGCCGAGAACTCCACCACCACAAGCCTGCTCCCAGCAGCCCGCAGCAACTCTTTAAATTCATCCTAAAACCAGAACACAGGGGGAAGTGTGCATGGTCACAGACTATCCCAAAGTCCTTACGGGAAAGACAATGAACGGCTTGCCAAGGGTACCAGAACAGGGGAAGCCTACCAGGTGCCCTACCTGTTCGTCCTCAGGCTGGTCCAACCTTTGCTTAGTGAGTCTTAGGCAGGACATAGCTTTCTTTGTGAGTACCCACAGTGGCGATACATTCGTAAATACAATAGAAGTCTGCTTACAAATGGCACAGTAGTGGCGGCTGCCTTTGGGTAGAGGCCGGCCAGCCAGGGAGGAATGAAAGTCTTAACGTGAAAGCAGAACTGTATGAGCGGGATTTCTGTATTCAGAAATTCTCAGGGCAGGTGAAACGCATCAATGGCAAAATCTTTTGCTTTATGGAGTGATTGCTCTTAACGTATCAATAAACACCACTCATTTCATGATTTGACTTTTTTTTTTTCTCTAAACTTCCTTAGTAAAATTTCCAAAACTTCTTGCTATCTCCTAGTTAAAGTCTTCCATCCTGGGACCTCGGATCATTGTATTTATATTTGCTTGTGACTGCCCTAAACTAATTATTTGGGGCCTGCTTTTCCCTACTGAAGTCACTTCTAGTTTAACCTTGTCCTTCCCAACCCCTCGCTTGCAGATGGTGAGCCCTATGGAATGCCTGCCGGGTGAGAGAATGCCAGCTACAGGGAGTGCTCTTCCCCGTTTATTTTCTCACTAGTCACTGGAATTGAGGTTAGCTCATCCACTCCGCTGTTCTGAACTGTAATCTTTATGTGTGCCGTATTCAGTATATATCCTCATTCTGTCGATTTCACAGCCAAAGGCACAGATATCCACCAACTTCTCACAGCCAGCCCGTGGGTGGTGGTGTGGCTGGGATTGTCCGTTGAGGCAGTCTGTCCTTCATCCATTACTGATGTCTCCCAGTGATAAACTGAACTCCGTTCACTGTGGTTAACGGCATCACCTTAAGCTCCCTGGACTAGGTGTTAATCAGGCTAGTTCACAACTTGATTAAGACGAGCAGGGCTAGCCATTTTAGGAGTGGACTTAATTCCACAGCGATGGCATGCTTGCCCTTCAGCAAGGGAACTTGATAATTAAGTCCCATTCAGTTTAGTTTCAGGCAGATGAGGCTGATGATTCAAAGAAGAGGCTCCCACTTCCCAGACCTGTATTTCTGCAGGATGGGCAGCTGAGTCTCACGCAGCCAAGAAAGGCCTCTGTTTTTCAGTTACATTTCTATTTCCTGAGGTCTTAGAGATTAAATCCAGGGTATAGCACAAAATAGGGGAGATCTGTCTTTAGCCCTCTTATTACTTTCTATTTTGAGACAGAATTTCACTATCTTGCCTAGGCTGGACTTTACATTCATTATATAGCCTAAGCTAGCCTCTAACTTGCAATTCTCCTGCCATTGTCTCCTGAGTAAGCCGAAGGACCAGCCTGCACCACCACCCTGGCTTCTCACGTGCTTTTGACATTACCCAGTGAGCTCCAAGTTAGCCAGAGTCACATGGGCTCTTCTTTGAGTGGGACCCCAAGACAAAAGACATGAAACAAACAAAAGAGTGGAAAGATCTCCCTGGACATAGAGCAAGGGAGGGAGACTGGGTAGAGTGTTTCCCAAGTCTCACTGAACATTGCTTTGGAATCATCTTTTGAAAGATTTCAAGAAGCCAACCAATACTTGCCATGTTGTTAATCACCTGCACCATGATTAACATCTGGGATTCACTGCTGACCCTCCCCTGTTGGCTCAGGTGGATCACTGTATCTCTCCCATTAATTACGACATTCTGGATGGAACATAGAGGTAGCTTTTCTATGACATCATTGAATAGGTCATCTCAGAACCTGGAACTTCGGCAGACTTTGAACCTAGTTTCACCTTTAAGCTGTGGCTAGGCAACTGGCTGGCCAGTCAAGAATCGGAAAACCAAGGACCTTGGATGCAGAAGCCATCTGGTTCCCTCATCTTGATCTTCCCCTTTTGTCATTGATTTCTTCATATTTCTTTCTTCTCAGACAGCTACTTGGTGTGGAAGGTCCTTTTGTCTATGGTTTGCTTTTATTGGTTAATGAATAAAACTGTTTCAGCCAGTGGCTTAGCAGAATAGGCCAAGGCGGGAGTTCCAAGCAGACAGAGAAGGAGAGAGTAGGCAGAGTGAGTTGAGAAGCTGTGTAGCCTCTGCTGGAGCCGGGCCACAACCTCTTGGTGATGCACAGATTAATGGCGATGGGTTAGTTTAGAATGTAGCCAATAAAAAGCTAGAGCTAATAGACCAAGCAGCGATTTAATTAATACAGTTTCTGTGTGGTTTTTTTGGTCTGAGTGGGCGGGAAACAAACAAGCATACCTCAGACAACGTCTACCTAAGCAGAAAATACCAGAAACTCACAGCTGATTTCATTTAGGATTTGAAAGAAACTGTGCTGTCCCTTGCCTGCCATCCAGTGGGTGGCGTGGTTGAGGGATAGATGCCCTCTCCCCCTTCACCTTTGCCACTTGCAGCAGGCAGGAGAGCTGACCTAGGGGCATGAGAGCAGGAAAGCTGGTCCTGCCCTTCATCAGCTGCAGTGTTTGGGAGAGCGGACTCTGCACCTCAACTGAGCAGCACAGTAGAGCTGGCTCCGGGGGTGTCAGTGAGGGCAAGCTGGCCTTGAGGGCATGCGAGTGGGAGAACTGGCACTGCCCCCTTGCTGCCTGCAGCAAGGGTCAGCTAGCCAGAGCAGTGCTGGAGAGCTTGCCTTGGCGGTGAGGATGCCGGAGAGCCAGTAGGCTGGCCAGTTCAGTGACCACTCAGGTCCAGATCCAGAATTATGAGTTGGTCCACCTCAACATCTGCCCCATCTACGAACTGCTGGAGCTCCCGTCCTGCAGGTCCAACGTTGCAGGACAACAGCAGGATTTCCAAGAGGAGGTTCAGTGAGGATCCAGTATTGACAGTGTCGCAGAAGCCAGAGGCCTCGAAACAGACCCATGACTCACTGTAATGAACATTTGCCAGTGTAGACATATGAACTAAAAGGTGACTCACTGTGACACACTTCAGCTTCCACGCTGAGACTTTTGTTTGTTTATTTTTATCTTTTTTTTTCTATTTTTTTTTTCATTTTGTAGAGGGAGGCTGCAAGGGCAGAGGGTAGACACAAAGTGACGGGAAATAAGTGGGATTGAGGTACATAATGTTAAACCCACAAATAACGACAAAAAACCCCCAAAACAAACCCTGTGCTGTTTAGAAAAGTACTAACACCTTAATCCTCTAGTGAGCTTCCTGTAGATTCATTTTATGACTCAGAGATTCCAGAACGTGTCTGTTTTGTTCTAAGCTGTGTAAAATACAAAGAGACTTCACTTTCACACAATCAGAGATTGGCAAACTTTTTAGTAATAGGCAGATAATATTTTAGGCTTATCAGGCCACAGACCATTGTGAGGTGACACCATCTTTGTGTTTACAACTTTTAAAAACTGTAAAAGAAACTTAAAATTCTTTGCTTGCAAACTGTACACAAAAAAGCAATCAAGTTAAAATTTTTCAGAATTGAAACAAAACAAATAAATCTGGCCATGGCTTCTGTTTCTCAATTTCTCAGCAAGAAGGACACCAGAAAATATGAGAAATAGCTATTTCTACAATAAAAGTGAGGAATATCTTTGTCTGGGTTTTTCACGCCCCAGGTCCAGTGTTGGTGGTGGAAAGACAAGCGGCTCCACCTGAAGGGGAACAATGTTCCTGCACTAATTTGATCTTGGTCTTCCTTGCCTGGGAAAGCTGAATCAGGAGTGGTCAACAGCAAGATGTTGTTTTTGGCAGTGGGTGTGCTGCTAGTAGCTTCTTCTTCAACAAATAAGAGAGATTATCTCTGATGTCTGCCACTTTTTGCCCCCGGAAGTGTTTGCTTCGTTTGCTCATCTAGACCCCGTTGGCATTAGAACGTGGTAGCTTTCCACTTTAGACCCTTCTGTCACCCCAGCCAGGGTCTGGCAAATGCAGCATGAAACAAAACAAACACAAACAAAACCCCAAAATACAAACTTCACGATTAAAGAGCGAAGGTCTTATCCTTATGAATTCTCCCTTCCTTCTCTCAGTTTTCGTTCAAGAAGGGAAGATGGGCGTGAGGCAGATAGAGCATCCTCTGAACAAGGCCTTCCAGCTGAAGCCCTACCGATGCCTTGGACCATAGTTTTCGCTGTCATAGAGGGTGGGGGACCTTGTCTGCATAGTAGGATATTCAATAGCACGGGGATGTTGGGCTCTACCTACTGGTGTCATTAGCATCCCCGAGTGGTCATAGCCATAAACGCCTTCTGGGGGCGCAAACTTGTTCCTGCATTCAGCAACAACTGCTTTGACAGGGAGGGCTGACTTCTAGACAAGGGTTTACCTCGCAAGTTCCTGGATAATTTCGCCTACTTGTTGTAAGGAGAAGTGCAGCGGGGTTTGAAGCTTTATGCTACGAGAATTGATTTAGAATCACGTTCACACAGAGAGACAAGGCTAAAGGGGATAGTTCAGAGGTAACTTTCAGACACGGCTAATTAATGACAAGCGTCTGCCTCATCCTTTGGTTTCTGGAGTGCTGTGAGGCTGGGCCGTACTTCTGTCCTCCAGTGCTAAGACTTGTAGACTTCCATGGAATTTGCTGTCAAGCAGTTTGCCCAGCCCTAGGGCAAGGGAGTACAGATGAAGGCGTACGACAGCCTTTTTGTTCTTGACCAGGATTTAAGCAGGCATTAAAAACCAGAAAAGAGTCAGGTTTACAATTCTCATATCTTAAAAATATGTTCGCTACATTAGTTCATAAACAGGGAAAATTTCTAGCCACAGAAAAAGTGGTCCCAGTGAAGGACTTTCTCGAATGAGAAGTCTGGGCATTCCCTTTGGCCCTGGCTAGCTGCGTTGCTCCTGCAATGTGTCCTCACACACATTTTCCTAGACCTAGACTTGCTCCTGATATTGTCATTGGAAATGTCAAAGTCAGAGACAGTCTGGGAGAGTTTCCTTAGGAACAACCAGAGATATATTTTTTGTTCTCCTTTGTTTTGTTTGCTATTTAAGAAATTCAAACAGAGGTGCAGTCCTGAGAGAAGGCCGGGATTTTAAAAACTTCCTAAGATGGCAGGAAAACCAGAGAGCGAGTATGGGAAGGAAATAAGTAGAGAGATGAAGGGGGAAAGGAAGCGGGGAGAAGAAGAAGAACAGAAGAAGACAGAGTTAGAATATAGCCAGTGAAAGAAAGAGGGTCAGGAGGGGATTGTAGACAGGGAGGGAGAAGCAGACTTACAAGCGGGACTTTCATTGTGTGGAGATGAACAGTGAATTCTCTTTGGTGCCCCAGCCCTTGCTATTCAAGTCCCACAGAGACCTTGATTCAAGGTGACGGCCTCATTGACATCACCTGGGAGCCTGGTAGAACTGTAGGGCTCCAGACTCTCCATCAGATCCACGGAGCAAGAAAGAGCCTGCATCCTGAGACCGCATGTTACTCGTGCGCATGCTACTATCTTAAAAGTCTGATTATAAAGCTCTGTTTCTAACTGAGGCTCTCTGTAGACCAGTGGAAGGAACTCCATCCACGTGGCCTGGGAACTGAGCTCATTCCCAGACCCCACCCTGGGCTTACTGACTCAGAAGCTCTGAGGGTGAGGCCCAGCAGCGCAGGCTTTAACACGTCCTCCAGGGGTTCTCTTGCAGGTTCAAGTTTGAGCAGTATTGGTGTAGATGGAAGCAAAACAAAACGCAGCTGGATTGATTTATGCCAGTAAGGGGCACGGCAGCTTCAGCACCCCAAAGCGGTGGGGTAACATTCAATATACTTAACCCCTTCGCGGCTTGGTGCTAATCAACCAGGATGGGAAGGGCCTGCAGCACAGCTGCTCAGTTCTTGCTGGGCAGTAACCCTTTTGATTGCTGGATTTGGGGGAGAATCAGGATATTTCTAAGAAGAGACTTGTTCAACCTCAGTGAGGTGGGAAAAAGGGAGAGAGAGGTGAGACCCGAGGCTATTGACTATCATGCATGATGCGTGTGTGCGCGCGTGCGTGCGTGTGTGTGTGTGTGTGTGTGTGTGTGTATACTATTGATCAAAGCCAGGACCTTGATCACGCTAGACAAGTGTGTTAGCACCGAGCTATTACCCCCTCTCCCAGTTTTCCACCACGTATTTTATAATAATTTATCATCTAGTGTGGCTCTCTGTGTATCATCTGAACAATGCCTTGTGATATTGATAATGAATGTAACGAACAGCTGCCCTCCCTACACACCAGGTTTTCAACATCAATACCTCAAAAGCAAGTTGTTTGTCATAAAATCAATGTTTTTGTGGGGCTGGAGAGATGGTTCAGGAGTTAAGAGCACTTGTTGCTCTTGCAGGGGACCCTGGTTCAGTTCCCAGCACCTACATGGGAGCTCACATCCTTCTGTATTTCTAGTGCCATGGAACTGATTCTTTATCCTCCATGTAATGATTCTGCATGCAAGAGACCTTGTGGGGTGAGAGCCAGAGGCCAGGGCAGGGGTGGGGCGATTAGGGGGTGGCGGTAGGGTGGCAGAGACAAATATGTCATGCAGGCAAAGCTTGAGTGAGGAGTTTCATTGAGATAAAGGAAATGGGGAGGGAGAGACTGAGAGAGAGAGAGAGAGAGAGAGAGAGAGAGAGAGAGAGAGATGCAGAGACGGGAAGAAGAGGCAGAAGAGAGAGA